ATCTTGACTTTGAGCTACCTGTTTACATCTTTTAGGAACTGCTAGACCCCATTGATTTTTTTTCTTTCCAATTGGTCTTTCTATGGTACCTTGCCTTCTATTTCTCTGAGCTTTCTTAAGTCCAGTGTCCTTTTTTGCTATTCTCATATTCTCCCTTGCATAGTATCTTGAATTCTAATATGACAATTTTTCATTAAACTCATCCACCACTGGGAATTCAGAGTGGGCTGTGAGAAGAAATAGTCAATCCCACTGACTGGTATATCTTTGTCTGCCTATTTTCCATGTAGATGCGAGGATGAAAGTAGGGTGACGAGATGTCCTAATATTACAGGGACAGTCAAAATATTTGGGGCTTTGTCTTATTTAGGTGTCTGTTACCCTCCAACACCTCTCCTGGTTTTTCACATTTGCCATCTTGTCACCCTAGATGACAGTTGTTTTCCACAAATTAACTGGTATGGGCTGCATATAAGAGTGCCTCATTAATGGGTGGTGCTATTTCCTCACATGGACCAATGCAAAGAATATCCATAAGACAGTGCTGGGACTCTTGCATCTCCCCTGTCAAAATTTTAAGAGATACTGCAAGCATATCATGAAATTGCCTAAAATTGTCTGCATAACACGATGGTGTTGGTATGGTGGTGTCCTCACCACAGGGTGGTGGGGACATATGTAAGGGAGAAATGGTATCTCCTCCTCTGGAAGTGGCAGTGGAACCCCCTGATCTTCCTTCTATAACAGGGAATTATGAAGCACTGATGACTGGAGGTGACTGGAGAACTTCTACACATGGTCTCTTCAGGGAAGAAGCTCTACAAGATTGGTCCCCCAGGGATCCCAACAGTCCCACTGAAAAGGTGGGTAGGTAAGAGAAGAGACCCCAGAGGAATTTGTATTCAATGGACACATGGCAGCGTCTCACGTCCTTGTTAAGGTATGCTTCTTGAGGCATCAGAGAATTGAAAACTTTTAAATTCCAGTATAATTCCCAGTCTAAAGGAGGGGCAGTAGACATTGGTATCTTAAATGCTAAGTGAGATTGCAGCACGTAGATAGCTCTATGGGTAAGTGCCAGAGGACTGAACACTTGTTGAAACCTGAAGAGAAGAGGTGGGTTGTAGGCACAGAGGTATTGGTGGTAAACTCTCATATGAAAGAAGAACTCTAGTTCCTCCAAAATGAAGAATTCCTCCTGTGAGAGAAACCTCAAGTTTTCAGGAGAACTTTGATAACGTACAGCCTAGTCTGAGGGCAGTACTAGACGCCTCGTTAGGAATAGATAGGGAATAGCAGCTGGTGCCAAAGGAGCTGAGAAGGTGGTTTCTCTATCTCCAAGTATATGCAGTCCAAGCTATCGGAGGAGATGAGGGAGGTAAGAGATGGCTCCATATGAGTCAGTAATAGACAGTACCACTGACGTGGACTTTCTCGTGTCATTGGATTTGAAGAGTCTGAGTTCCTTGATGGTGCCAGTGAAGATAACTTTAATAATTTCTTACTGGCAGATTTACCCTGAGATGTCTTTTTAGATGGTACTGAGACTAGTGCCGATGCCTGATGGTGCCTCAGAGGTACCCATTCTAAGGCACAAGGTCTCCTCAGAAACAGTTCTAAGAGATGAACTTTCTCTTTTTCTTCTCTCAGGAGATGGACACTTTCTTTGCTTGTTTTATCTCCAAAGAAGCCCTGGGAGATGCTGAAGTTCCCAGGGGTGATGGAGGCATTCAGACATGATGGGCTTTAGGGAGAGTTTCATGAGGAACAGTTTCAGCCTCAGCTACTTAGCAGGATTTGCTAGTGTGTTAGGAGATTCTTTTAAAGAATCCTGAAAAGGGTGGTCCAGATGTGGCAGACAGAAAGATGCTACACCCCCATAACTGTACAGATCTTTTGAATCAGCAAAAGCTTTGCCAAAAGTATGTTCTTGAAGGGCAGAAATAATGCTATGCAAGGAAGCATTTGATGTGGCTTTCCAGAGCTTTTAGAGTCAATGAAGTTGTGCCTGGGACATCAAGAGACAGTTCCAGGCATGCATTGGAATTGGCAGACATACAAGTTAAATTAAGTTTGATTGATCAAGCATAAGTGAAGGATCAAAACAGATTTAAGAGAATGCCCAGATGCCCTGTGTTATGCAGTTCAGGCTAGATGATCAGAGTGATTCCTCTAACCTTATAATCTATGAACAAGTTTGCCTGTAAAAGCCAGGCCTTTTGCAGTACAAAGGGATAATAGCTATCTGGAAAGACATCCATTTACTGCACAATGGAGGAAAGTTAGCTTGTGTGGGGCATAGGCCTGTCCAACAAATGGTATGTCAACATCTGGAGTTATGGAGGGGTTTGATTCCCAAAAGGGTCCAGGCTGGGGCTCCTAACATTGTAAATGGAAACTAATAGTATAGTTGAAAAATATGAGCCAAATCTTTCCTAAGAGTAGTTTTCAGGAGACATCACAAATAAGGTGGATGCCTGGATTTGCAAGCAATCAATAGGGCAGAAACAGAAGTTGAACCCCAGGGGTTAGGCGGAAGAGGGGCAAACCTGAATATTTATTATTTGCCATGAAGTCTATTTCACATTGCACTGTGAACCCAAGTAAATGCCTGGTATTGGGAGATTTAGCACTCTCCCCCATTAAAGTTAACTGTTAATGAAGCTGAAAAGCTTCAACTTTTAAATCTACTGATGTATCTATGTTCATTCTCTTGTGAGTTCTGATCAACACAGGCTTTGTAGAAACAACAATGTACGAATACAAAGTGAGCACAAATCACTACTGCTACTGTTGAAAGTGGAGTGCACTGATATTTCATATTCACGCATATTACTTTTCACATGTGCAAATGCCCGCACGATGTGAAAAGGCAGGAGAGAAACAGGTCCAATGTTAACTGAAATATTTCATAAATTGTTTTAGTAATACAGCGAAAGTTTTGCTATCTGGCATCCTGCTAACCAGAAAACTTTGCTAACCTGCATCCTCCCAGCCACAATACCACTGTATCGTCAGGTGCACACGCCTTACTCCCATCTATCCAGCCGGCCGTTTCAGGGCTTTTGACAGATGACACTATCAGCTGATGTCATCAGCAGGTGCATCCTTCCCCCTCAGCTTGCCTCAAGCAGCTGGGAGCCATATCTGCCAGTAGTGGGAGGGGGCAGAGCAATAAGCTTTGTTATGCGGTACATTCAATTAACTGGCAATCCCCATTCCCCATGAGTGCTGGATAACAAAGCCTTCCCTGTATTTGAATGAAACTTTGAATGATTACTTTGATTTAAACAGTTCCCTGAAATATTTGCAATCAAAACACTACATAGTACCACTTTCTAGTACATCAAAGCTGGAAAGTGAAACTGAGTATTTATGATAACAGAAGCAATTAGACTAGAGAAGCAATTAGACTATTTTCAATGCCTAGTCTAAGTGAAGTGTAAAAATTAAACAACAGCTATAACGGTGATGAATACAATCAACATGTTTTTAAAATTCTGTCAAATTTTATTACAGGCTGGATCTCCCTGGTATAGTACCCTTGGGACCTGACTGGTTCTGAACGAGGGAGTTTGATGGTCAATTCTGCCCACCCCTACCACTGCCGCTGGTCCCCTGGACCAGCTTTGCTTCTAGCCTCAAATGGGCTCGTGGCCCTGTTGCAGTTCACCCTGCTTGGGCTGCCAGCCCCACTGCTGCCGATCCTAGCTGGTCTCTCAGCTGCTGCTCCTTGCTGGGCTGCCAGTCTCGCTGGTCCTTGTTGGGCTGCCAGTCTCACTGTCACTGGCAGGGCTCCCAGCTGCTGGCCCTGCTTGGGCTACTGGCCCCACTACCGCCGTCTCCAGTCTTCTTGCCTGCCTCAGTCATGCTGCCCACCTTGCTATCACTGGCCCTTGCCGGACCACTGGCTCTTGCTGGACCACCAGCCACCTGGCCAGGCTGTTAGCTCCACTGTCGTCATGCTCCCAGCCATCAGTCCTGCTTCAGCTGCCTGCCCTGCTGCCGCTAGCCCCGCTCAGGCTGCCTGCCGCCCACCTTGCTCAGCTCACGTGTGACAGCCCAGGCCAGGCTGCTGGGTGTGCTCTCACCAGCCCTGCTTCAGCTCCTGGCCAGGCTCCCAGCCCCTCCTAGTGCCTGACTCATAGCCTATGGGGCTCTTTGGTCCCGGAACACCCATGATCATGTTGGACCACAGATGTTGCCAGATCAGGGAGTCCTAGTTTAGAGAGGTCAACTTGTAGTCTATTATTGTTTTAAACATAATTGAGGAAATATTAATCTATCAATCTTCTTAGAACCATATAAGTAATTTAATATTATTTGTATGCATAGCACAACAGAAATGAAACACCAATGAAACAAAAGAAACACTATGCAATTTTTCTTTCTTAGACAAAAAAGTTAAAATGTGAGAATAATTCTTCAACATAGAATTTAGGGAATTTTATAGTAGCTGATCTTTCATAAGAGTTTTGTGGTTAAAGCAAGTGTATTTTCTAAACTTCTGCTTCAGTAGGCCCTGATTTTGCAATTAACTCTACACGGGCTCAGGGGGTCCATCTGTTTGTGCCAAATACAGCATCAGTGCTCCAGTCAAATTTCACATAGAAGATGCCATTATGGAATATCTGTTGCCTTCCAATTTATAAAGTGATAAAAAGATTTAGAGTATTTATTACTTGTACAATAGAGGTCAGTAAAATAGAATGGGAAACTCTTAACACAAACATACAATATCAAATTAAGAATGATATACTTTTCCTAAAGGAAGTCATTTAAGAATGTCAGGACCAGATCCTATAGTTCTAACACAGAAAAATAGCAATGGTCTTCAATAGGAGTATTACTTGTTTATTGCCAAGAAGATTGTGTTCTTATATACTGGACATTTAATAAAATTGTGCTAAAGTATTTAAAAGACATCAGCAAGTAGCCAGCTTTAAGTGATTCCATTCCATTTTGCTTCTGTTAAAAAAAATCGTTCTAATAGTACCCACCTTCATATCTTCCAAATTTTTCTGTCTAGTCCACAGTAATTCTCCATATGTTTTTTCCTCGTGCTGTATTTTCTTCTCATATTTTTCTAATTCATTTTTGAAGTAATCCACTATCATCTGCTTTTTCTCCTGCTTAGAACTAACAGCACTAAAATTTTTCCTTCAAAAGAAAACATTTAAAATTGATTTTTAGTCTTACTTTATTTAGTTTCATATTTAATTTTACTTTAGACAGAAAGATTAATTTCATATATGTTAAGATCCATTTGGAAAAGCATTTAAAACCATGTGATTATACACACACACACACACACACACACACACTTATGTTATTTTGAATGCCTTGCATGTACTCTGCCTACTAATCTAACCCCATCAGACTACTAACATTTAAAACTCTCTGCAACTTCAAAAACAGCTTCTACTTTAAAAATATCAGTTTTCCTTGGAAAGGATCATTTTCCCCTCCCATGGAAAGTTTTCCTTTAAAATTATACTTGTGAGAGATGCAGCTTGCAAGCATGAGTCCCCTTTGCTCTCATTTCCTTCTTCTCATGTCCCAGGCACATTATGTAGGCTGTTAAGCACAGGGAAGTGAAAAGTTCCAACATGATCAAGTACTCGCACACCCAGTTCCCTTAGGACACCAAGTGTTGGCTATTCCCCACTAATCCAATCATAGAATCCTAGGGCTGGAAGAGACCTCAGGAGGTCATTGAGTCCAGGCCCCTGCCCAAAGCAGGACAAACACTAATTAAATCATCCAAGCTAGGACTTTGTCAAGCAAGGATTTAAAACCCCCTAGGAATCCAGAGTCCACCACCTCCCTAGGTAACTCATTCCAGTACTTCACCACCCTTCTAGTGAAACAGTTTTTTCTACTATCCAACCTAGACCTCCCCCACTGTAACCTGAGACCATTGCTCCTCATTCTGTCATCCATCACTACTGAGAACAGCCTCTCTTTGGAACTTCCACTTCAGGAAGTAGAGGGCTGCTATCAAATCCCCCCTCATTCTTCTCTTCTGCAGACTAAAAGAGCCCAAATCCCTCAGCCTCTCCTTGTCATGTGTTCCAGCCCCCTAATCATTTTGGTTGCCCTCTGCTGGACCCTCTCTAATGCGTCCACATCCTTTCTATAATGGGGGGCCCAGAACTGGATGCAATACTCCAGGTGTGGCCTCACCAATGCCGAATAAAGGGGAATTATAACTTACCTAGATTTGTTGGAAGTGCTGCTCCTAATGCACCCTAATATGCCATTAGCCCTTTTGGCTACAAAGACACACTGTTGACTTATATCCTGCTTCTCATCCATTGTAATCCTTAGGTCCTTTTCTGCTGAACTGCTAATTAGCCAGTCGGTCCCCAGCCTGTAACAATGCTTGGGATTCTTCCATCCCAAACCTCATCAGATTTCTTTTCACCCAATCCTCCAATTTCTCTAGGTCACTCTGGACCTTATCCCTGCCTTACAATATATCTATCTCTTCCCTTAGCTGAGTGTCATCCACAAACTTGCTTAATTAATAAAGTTATTGAACAAAACCAGCCCAGGAACTGCACTTCATATTGACCACCAACCAGACATCGAGCCATTGATCACTATCTGTTGAGCCCAATAATCTAACAAGCTTTCTATCTACCTTACATTCCATGTATTTAATTCATACTTCCTTAACTTGCTGGCAAGAATACTTATCAAAAGCTTTGCTAAAGTCAAGGTATATCACATCCACCGACTTACCCATGTCCACAGAGCCAGTTACCTTGCCATAGAAGGCAATCAGTTTGATCAGGCATGACTTCCCTTTGGTGAAACCATGTTGGCTATTCCTGATCACTTTCCTCTCTTCCAAGTGATTCAAAATGGATTCCTGAGGATCCCCTCCATGATTTTTCTGGGGACTGAGGTGAGGCTGACCAGTTTATAGTTCCCTGGATTGTCCTTCTTCCCTTTTTAAAAGATGGGCTGTACTATTTCTAATCATCCAGGATCTTCCCCAAGATCCATGAGTTTTTAAAGATAATGGCCAATGGCTCTGCAATGACATCTGCCAACTCCTTCAGCACTCTTGGATGCATTAAATCTGGACCTATGGATTTGTGTATATCCAATTTTTCTAAATAGACCTCAGACCGTTTCTCCAATTTGTCCAGATCATTTTGAATTATGACACTGTCATCCAAAGCAGTTGCAACCCCTCCCAGCTTGGTATCATCTGCAAACTTAATAAGCATACTCTCTATGCCGGCCATTTAAATCGGGCCCAGGAGAGAGCCGGGAGGGGAGCAAAGAGTTGAGCCCTCACCTGGGCAGCCAAAGGGGCTCCCCCAAGACCTCGCAGAGGAGTACTCCATGGATCCTGGGTGGCAGCGGCCATGCCAGGTCTGAGCAGGAAGGCAGAATGGCAGTAAGATCCGGGGAACCCCCCTGCGAACCTGGGCAGCCAGAGGGAATTAGGAAACAGCCGAGGGCAGAGCACTTTTGGCACCCGTGGGCTGGCGAGCTTTGGGTTGGATCCCTGTCAGCCATGTAGGGGTGAAGAACCCCCACCCTTAGGGCCCTGGGTTGGGACCCAGTGGAGAGGGAGGGCCCGGGTTCCCCTAAACCCCTTCCTCCCTCGGCATGTGCAGCCAGTACCTGTGGCATTCCGCCCTTTCATCAGCCCCACAGGCCGTTATTGTTGACCTCGGACCCTCCTAGGACTCTGACTGGAGAGCCAAAGCCCCCTTGAGGTACTTCTGCCCCATGTACTGAGTAGGCAGTGTGCTCGCAGGGCCCTGTCCTCAGACTGGAGTGCGAGGATCTTGCGCCCATAAAGCCGCCTCTTGGGGGAAACTGAGACAGGCCGGGGGCTCTCAGGGCCTTGCCCCGGTGAGGGGCGGGTGCTCACGCCCAGGAACCTGTCACATTAGGGTTTCACTTTTTAATAAGTGGGAGAGGAGATCAGAGAAATCTCTGATGGAGTAAGCTAGAAAGTAAGCAATAGCCATGCGTGAAGGCAGCAGCAGGAACCTCATGTCACCAGTTTCTCCACCAAGCCAGGCAGGAATCAACACCTGGAATCAAAGGATGTTGTCTCCAGCTGTTTCCCTAAAGTATGAATGGCTTCTTCATAGAAACAGCAACTTCCATATCATGGGTCTGCTGATGAACAGATTAAATATCTACTGAGGTATTTGAATTATCATCTTTTGTTACTGGTTCTAGGAAACTGATCCAGACCAAAAAGTTTCTTACCTGATATTTGCATTAATTCAAACTGATCCAGACCAAAAAGTAAAGTTTCTTACCTGATATTTGCATTAATTTTGTCAATATCTACACTAAGGCGCTACACTGCTTCCCTCTTGCGGAAGAGGAAATGCAAATGGAGCACTCATTAGCATATGTCACGCTCTCATTTGCATTTTCTCTTCCAATCCTTTTTGCAGAAGAGGTTTTTTCACAAAAAAACGCTGTGTAGATGGAGCCTTTTTATAAATCCCCTTTTGCGCAAGAACCCTTATTCCTCAAACCTCTTCCACAAAAATGATTGGAAGAGAATATGCAAATGAGAGCCCAACATATGCTAATGAGCACTCCATTTGCATTTCCTCTTCCGCAAGAGGGAAGCAGTATAGATGTAGAGTAATTCTCACAGATGAGTTAATCATTCTCCTCATAGATGGCATCAGTTCAAGTGTTTTGAAGAGAATGCTGGGAATACTTTGTTAGCCCTTCCTGCCAACTTCCAGAAAGGTTCTTCCAAAGCTGTATAACAGACACTAAAGCCATTCCACCCAAAGGTAGAGAATACAATCCAAATAGATTAGCATGTTTAACATTATTCTAGGTTTACCACCCAGAAAATAATAGGAATTTGTTCCAGGAAAAGGCTTCTTTAAGATATGCACATAAAATGCCAACTAGTGGGACAGATTATTAGAAACATTAATAGAATAAAATAAATTTATAAATTTATAAAATAAATTAATATTCCTTTTTTCTTCATATTCTCACCACTAATCCTCACTGACAGGAAATAACAATCAGCAAGAAGTAGCAAGTAATGCGAAAGAACCCTTTCCTTTCCTTTCCTTTTTCCCACCCCTTTTCTAAACACAGTGGCTGTGTCTAGACTGGCAAGTTTTTCCGCAAAAGCAATTGCTTTTGCGGAAAAACTTGCCAGTCTAGACACAGCCACTGTGTTTAGAAAAGGGGTGGGAAAAAGGAAAGGAAAGGAAAGGGTTCTTTCGCATTACTTGCTACTTCTTGCTGATTGTTATTTCCTGTCAGTGAGGATTAGTGGTGAGAATATGAAGAAAAAAGGAATATTAATTTATTTTATAAATTTATAAATTTATTTTATTCTATTAATGTTTCTAATAATCTGTCCCACTAGTTGGCATTTTATGTGCATATCTTAAAGAAGCCTTTTCCTGGAACAAATTCCTATTATTTTCTGGGTGGTAAACCTAGAATAATGTTAAACATGCTAATCTATTTGGATTGTATTCTCTACCTTTGGGTGGAATGGCTTTAGTGTCTGTTATACAGCTTTGGAAGAACCTTTCTGGAAGTTGGCAGGAAGCTCCAATGACCATAGGGGAAATAGTTGTACAGTCCTAGCTTTCCAGCAATTCACATGGGGGAGGAATTCTACTTGTGGTGTATGATCTTTGTGCAGGGCAGAATGAAAAAAGTTAGATGGAGGAACAAGCAACTTTAATCCTTTGGATCCAAGTCTTGGAAGTGGAATGGCTTCAGATCTCTAGAATGAGATGGTATACCTGAAATGCAGAGGCTCAAGAAGTATGAAAAGTATTCTTTACTATATTTCAAAATTGATGGTCTTTTTAAAGAGGGGGAATAGGAAAAATTGTTGAGGAATCCCTCAGCAGAAGGAGTGCTGGATTAATTAACTATTCAGAATCAGAGACTGAAAGTGACTGAACAAGCACTACAATCTTTCACTGCTTTTAAAGATTCTTGGCGAGAACCAAAGAAAGAGTTTGGAATACAATATCCCAATGCATGAAACAAATCAAATGGATGTCAGTGTCAATCATGGATGTGAGATCCTTGGAAACAAGAGGGGTTCTGAGCACTGATCATCCATATTTTTGGAGTTCAACAGAGGTCTAAAGGTCTGAACACTAAGTTCAGTGGAATCCATCTGCTTGAATCACAGTTTGGAAGAAGCCAATCCCAGGCAGCTGGGAATATGTAGCACTAGCAAATGGAAGTAAATGTGATTGCAGAAAAGGAGCTACAGTGTGTGGTGACAAGACACTCTTTTTTCACAAGTTTCCCCATCCTGTAAGTAGCTTTGCAATTCAACAGTAACAGCACAGAGCTATTTTCTCTTTGACATTGCACAGCAGGCTCACCTTTATCCTAGAGAAGAGTAAGCCTGCTGTGTAATCATCATATATGGCTCTCCAAGGCTTGCATGGCCTACCAGGCTACAGGTATTTTCAGCTGGATAGGACCCTTGGAGATTATTTTCAAGATTCATCAGTCACAGTAAGCGTAGGTCCACATTTTTTGAAACAGAGAAAAACCAGAATACAAAAAAATCCTCCATTAATTAAAGATGCAACTGACCATGGATATTATTAGATTTTGGAAAATAGTCCTGATGCCTGAAATACCATTTACCAGGCAGACAATTTATCATGAATGTCTTCTACAAATGCACAAAACCCACAAAGAATAATCAAACAAAATACTTTTGAATTATTGATAAAACTGCATTAGATTTGCTATAAATAATTCTGTAAAGATAACATAAAAACTACATTTTAAAAATCTTTTATAGAAATGGAAATTTTTACCTCAACTCTATAAGAGATTCCTCTGTTGTTTCCATTTGTCTTTGCTTTGTCTCTGCTAATCCATTTAATTCATTTATTCTGTTTTGAAAATTTTCAATAATGTAAGTAGTTTCATTTAGCCGACTGGAAACATCTGAATATTTTTCCTAGAAACAAATAAGAAAACATGTGTGAATTTATGTGTATGTGTACACACACACACACACACACACACACACACACACACACACACACACACACATACACACAGGATACTTAACTCAAACAAGATGGCTATGTCTAGACTACATCCCTTTTTCGTAAAAGGGATGTAAATTAGACGTATCGCAATTGCTAATAAAGCGGGAATTTAAATCTATGAAATAAGGGATAAGGGATCTTTCGGAAAAGGCTTTATTTTCCACAAGATCAGCATCTAGACAGGCGCTTTTTTCCGGCAAAGCTCCGTGACGAAAAAAAGCGGCAGCCATTTTTATGCTAATGAAGCGGGGGAGATTTAAATCCCCGCTTCATTAGCAATTGTGATACGTCTAATTTATATCCCTTTTACGACAAAAGGATGTAGTCTAGACGTAGCCGATTTGTTTTTCTTCATTTAAATCATTGTTCTGGCATGAGACTAGGAATGAGGGATTCAGTATGCAGGCTGCCTGGGGAGAGAGGACTACCCCAGCCCTCTCTCGCTGCAGCAGTTTGGGGCCAGGTGAGAAGCACCTCTCCATGGCCACTGCAGCTTAAGCAGGCACAGCTGGGGGAGGGGAGGGGCAGGTCCAGTTTCATCTGTCCTGCGTTCCCAGTCAGATTGAGGAATGCAGCAAACTGTGCACTTTCTCCTCCCTATTTGATGAAGAGGAACAGCCAGCAATATTCCTGTATGAAGCAGGGAAGGAGCTTCAGCGCCACCCCTCTCTAAACGGTTTTGAGGGGTGGGAGGCTCAAGGCTGGGGCAGTCCTGCACACAGGGGGTGTACCCCTAGTCAGCCCCTTTTATCTTCCTGGTGATTCTGTCTGTTTTCTGTGTGTTTTTCTGATAAGCAATTGCACTTCAGGCACATCTCATTTTCCTGGCACAACCAAACCCTTACCTTGCTTTAAGTTACGATAAAAGGAAGCTGTATTTCAAATTTGGTAGTCCTTGGTCTTACCATTTAGGAAGAATTCTTGAACAACAGATGGACAGACAGGCAGATAAACTCTCTCAAATATATAGTAGATAAACAGCTTCATATAATTATGTTGTCCTCTTAAACAAACAATGGCTTGCATATGCAAAATCATTAGCAGGTGAAATATAACCTCAAAACTTTTCACACGAGGCACAATTCTGTGGCCATTGATTTCAATGGAAGTGGGGGTTTTGTGTTGATTAAAAGTTTGGATCCAAGATCAAACAGCATTGCACAAAATCAGAAACAGAAACTCCACTGCAAACAAGGGCACAAAATCAATTAGAAATGCCTTGAAAATGTAAAATAAGTAAGAAATACAAATGCAAGCAACATCCAGTTGTGAGCCCCAAAACAGAGTCCAACCTCTCTCAACTACCCATGTAAATCCTCTTCCCACTAGGGGATAAAAATGGACCAGAATCCCAGCCCATGCCCACTGTCACTCAGCTGGTTATCCACCCATTTTTTTCCCATCACGGCCAGCTGCTTAGCAATCACAGAAATCCAGTTAGCCAATATGATGGGGAACTGGCATCGCTGCTGGAGATGCTCTTGACAGTGGCTCTGCCAAAGGTCGTATAACACAATGGCATTAATCAGGGTCACAATCCTAGGTATAACTTTCACCTTAATTTATCAAAATACTTACAAATGCCGATAGAATATTGCAATATATTTCCATGAAGATTTGTAGAAATTATTCTCCCAATCTTATACATTCATAGGCACAAAAAGTTAAAGCTAAAATGTGTGTGCCTTAAACTTTTCCACACATAGGTAAGTATCCAAGGCCTAGTCTCCACTAAGACCCTACATTGAATTTTGATTTTCTAAGTGATGCGCCCACACTATCAAACCTGTTGTGTCACACTTAGGAGCCACTAAAGTTGATTTCAGTACTCCTGCTTTTCACGAGAAGTAACACTATTCCCAATTTTGCATGGCCAAATTTATGGTAGTATAGATACAGTGTTGACCAAAAGTTGAAGCTATTGCCCTTTGGGAGCCCTCCTGCACTTCCTCGCTCTGATTGCTCTGTACCTCTACTGCTCTCCTGGAAAACTCAAAAAGCCCCAGGTAAATCAGAAAGGTATTTCTCGTGTGGCCAGCATTGCGAGTACTTTCAGAGTCAGCAGCACACCACAGCACACATGGAGATGACTTCCAACAATCCTAGGAACATAGTGATGACTTTGAGTACTTCTGCTCATACAGGTGCCAGTTCCCAGGGGCACAGAAGAGCACCAGTGTGTAGTTTCCCAGGTTCTCTTGGACCTCACTGAGGCATGGGGAGATGAGTCCATCCTCTCTGAGCCCTGAACCAGCACGAGGAATGCCAATATTTATGGAAAGATTTCAGGCTGCCTGATGGCTAAAGTATATTCCAGGGATGCCCAGCAATGACAAGACAAGGTCAAGGAGCTGAAGTAGTCCTACCATAAGGTGAAGGAGCTGAATGAACACTCTTGGGCAGGACTTCACATACATCACTATGACAAGCAGCGGGATGCCATTTGGGAGGGCACAGCCAGCTTCCCTAGTGTGGTCATGGAGTGTGGCCAAGACATGTCTGGCATCAGCATGCATGACAGTGTGGTGGCGGAGGAGGATGAGGAGGAGAGTAGCCAGCCACAGATCCCCGAGAGCCAGAAGCTGGTCATGATGCTGAAGCCAGTTTCCAGGATGTCTTCCAGTCCAGCACCAACCCCAGGGAGGATACTTACAGTGAGTTCACAAACTTTTTCTAACTACAAGTGGGTTCAGGCAATGGGGTATGAGGTGTGGCGTGATCTGTGCCTACACAGTGTGGGGAACATGGAACAGACAAGGACTCAGAAGATCCAGATTCTGTTTCCTGTTTTGCCACAGACGTCCCCTAATGTAATTCTTAAATTGAAGTGGGGAGAAAACGGAGATGGAACTCAACACTGATATGACATTTATCTCATGGATTCTAGATTTAAACACATTTTTGGAAAGCAGAAACATATGCACAACTAATAAATGTTTCCAAGCAGTTGTACTGTACTATAATCAAAGGAAAACAAATTTAAAAAAATGAAAATTGGAGTAGTGTCTGCCAATTTTACCCCCGGACATCGCTGATGAATATATTATAATATGGACTTTTGAAGAAAATGTCATCTTAAATGCTAATGTAGCAAAATACAAACTTTAAATAGAACTAGTGGCTGAAAGTTTGTGATGTTGCATGGGTGTAATTCATCTGGTCATATGTGCAACCACTCTACCCACCCAACTCAAAATATCTTAGAACGTAGCACTCAGAAACTGGATGGTAGCTGACCATGAATTCCACTGATGACTGAACTACCTGGCTGAGAGAACCCTACCCCACAGCCCTTCTGGGCATGCTCCAACTGGAAGATAGGAATAAAGGTCAGTGGAGCAACTCAGTCAGGGCTGACCACCATGGAGGAAGACACTTCTGCCAGAGCTCTGCAGGAAGAGCTATGGAGGGTCAAATCATGGAGGACAGTCAGCGAGGAATGGTGGGAGAAGCTGCCATCCTGGAAGAAACTGAAGAAGAAGCTAATGGTTGAGAGTAGAGTAAGAAGTAGCCCAAGGCAGGGTGTAACCATAGACCCTGAGCCATAGGTAAAGAGACACATGGGATAGAACATTCTTTGAGGTGCCTTAAAGGCCTATCTCCCTGCCTCAGAGGAGGCTGAAAATAACCACCTCATGACAGTGCCCCTTGGAATCATGTCTCCATGGCACCCAATATAGAGCCCTACTAACCTGTCTTGTTCTCAGTTCCTTCTTGCTGGTTATTCTGACAGAGGGGAAGGAGGGTGGGTATTGGAACAGATATAAACAACGCATCTCAAATAAGGACATTTATGAGAAAGTACATAACCATTTTCTCTTCTTCAAGTTCTTGTTTATGTGTATTCCAATTAGGTAATTCACAAGCAGAAGGTGAGGAGATGGAGTCAGAGCTAACCACTGATTGAAAGATCGCTCATCCAAAAGAGGCATCATCCCTGGCTTGCTTTGTAATGTGAATGTACAGATCAAGGACCATGTAGTGGCACTATAGATTTTGAGAATGGGGCCTTGGACCAGAAAGGCAATAGAAGAATCTTATGCCCTGGTAGAATGAGCTGTGATTGAAAGTACAGGAACACCCATTAGTCTCTAGCACTCATAGACATGATCCATGATGAGATGCATTGTGTAGACAATAGCTGGCTCTTCATCCAATCTGCAAAAGCCAAGTACAGTTGGACAGATTTACAGAATGGTTTAGTTCTCTCAGTGTAGAAGGCTAGAACCCTACAGACATTGCAGGGGTGCAGTTTCTGCTCTCTAAGCTATGTCTACACAGCAACATTATTTTGAAATAACTAGCATTATTTCAAAATAACATAGCCCATGTCTACACAGCTAGTAGTTATTTTGACATAATGTCAAAATACTGTCAAGCTGGAAGACTTCTTACTCTGCTTCCTGTAACCCTCATTTTATGAGGAGTAAAGGAAGTTGGGAAAAGAGTGCTCTATTTTGAATAAATAAGTGCTGTGTAGACAGCACCAAAACTTGAAATAAGCTATTTCAAAATAAGCTATGCAATTGATGTAGTTCAATTTGCGTTGCTTATTTCTAGTTAAGCCCTGTTGTGTACACACACCCTAAGAGTAAAATGTAGCTTGGGACAGAACACAGGCAGGAAAATGTCTTGCTTCAAATGAAACTATGACACTACTTTTGGAAGAAAAGCCAGATGAGGCCTAATCTGGAATTTGTCCTTATAGAACACAGTGTAGGGTGTTTTTTATATTAGGGCTCTCAGTTTGGATACTCTACTGGTTGAAGTTATGGTCACCAAAAAGGCCACCTTATAGGAGAGATATAAGAGTGAACAGTTTGCTAAGGGTTCAAAGGGCAGGACCATGAGTCTAGAAAGGACTAGATTAAGGACCCAGACTGGAACAGGCTGATGTATGTGCAGATAAAGTCTGCCCAAACCTTTAAGGGAGTGAGTAATCAGGGGGTTTGTAAACACTGAACATCCATCCAAACCTGGGTGAAACTCAGAGATGGCCACCAAATGCACCCTTATTGAAGGAAGGAAAAGACCTTCCTGATTTAGGTGAAAGAGCTAGTCCAAAATGGGAGGTATTAGGGCCAATGTAGGAGGGGAATGATGCTGAGCAGCCCAGATTGAGAACCTCCACCAATTAGCTAAATGCATCACACTGGTCAACAACTTTCTGCTGCTGTGCAAAATGTGTCTGACATGGTCTGAACAGGTGAGCTCTGTGGGGTTTAACCAGGGAGCTTTCAAGCTGTGAGGTGTAGGGACTGAAGGTTTGGGTGCTGAAGGCAACTGTGATCTTGTGTCAAGAGGTGTGGAAAGAATGGTAGTGTAACTGGTATATCCACTGACATATCTAGGAGCAACATGTACCACAGCTGATAAGGCCGTGCTGGAGCTATTATTATTACTTGTGCTCACTGCCTCTTGACCTTGTGGAAGAGCAGAATAGATGGAAACACATAAAGGACGGGACCTTGCCCATAAAGGAGGAGCGGAGCCCAGGCTGTGGCTTTGGAAGAAGCAGAACTGCTGACACTTCCTATCGTGTCTACTGAAGGACCTGAGGAGGTGATCTGCCAATTCATTGTATGCGGCGGGGAGGTACAATGCCTGTAGTTGTACTGAATGTTGTATACTGTATTCTCAGAGCTTTAGAGCTTCTTGGCACAGGGGAGAGGCTCATACACCCCTGTTGGTCAAAATGAACATGGAGGTTATGTTGTTTACCATAACTGACACATATTGACCTGGTAGGTGAACCCCGAAAATCTGACATGCACACCTCTCTGCCCTGAGCTCCCTGATGTTGTTGTGAAAAGCTAGGCTCTCTTGTGACCACAGACCTTGGTCCTAAGTCCCACAAGGTGGGCACCCCAACCCAAATCAGAAGCATCCATAACTAGAGAAATGAAAGGCTGAGAGTTGATGAAAGGGACCCCTGCACATACCTCCCAGGGGTTAAGCCACCTTAGAAGGAAGTCTTGTATTGATTCTGGGAGAGTCACTGCTCTGTCCAATTTGTCTTAGGTTGGTTAATATCCTATGCTAACCATGACTGGAGCAGTCAGAGCCTTAGTCTGGCATGCTGCACTTTGTACGTACATGCTACCATGTGCACTAGGAGCTTGAGACAGTTCCTTGCTGTGGTGTTGGAAAACTTTCTGTGACTTCAAATAATACTTGACAAAGTATGGAACCGTTACTCTGGTAGGAATGCTCTGGCTTGAGTTAAGTCCAGAATTGCCCCTATGAATTTTAACCTCTGGACGGGGGACAGTATGGACTTTGTTTATGAGGAGGCCCAGGTTGTTGAACATGTTTCTGATAAATATGAGGTGAACCTGCACCTGTTGCCTGGAATGCCATTTGGTCAGCCAATTACCAAGACATGAGTACACCTAAATTTGGTTTCTGCATAGAAACGCTACTATGACTGCCATACATTTGGTGAAAACTTAAGGTGCTGATGACAGGTCAAATGGGAGGACCATAAATTGATACTGTGTCTTGTTTACCACAAACTGGAAGTATTTCCATTATCAATATGTGGTAGCACACATCCTTTAAGTCATGGGTGGCATATTGGTTTGCTAAATCTAGTGAGGGAATGATGGAGGTCAGAGAAACCATTTGTTATTTTCTTTATAAATACGTTGAAATCCCTCAGGCCTGTTGGTTAGCGAAACAGTTGCAGGCCATCCATAGAATAGATCTTCTTCCCAAATAGATTGAGTCTCTTAGCTTCCCTGTATTTAGGGGAAGGTCCCTGGTAACCTTGTCATTCCTGGTGATTTGCTACACCCACAACAAGGGAGTCCAGGGATGGGTGTGTATATAAAAGTTTACACTGCGGGAGGAGACAAAATAACACCTCTCATTGGTTACGTCTAGACTGGCCCCAAATTCCGGAAAAGGGATGCAAATCAGGTAAGTCAGCATAGGGAAATCCGCAGGGGATTTAAATATCCCCCGCGGATTTAAATAAACATGTCCGCCGCTTTTTTTCCGGCTTGGGGAAAAGCCGGAAAAAAAGCATCTAGACTGGCGCGATCCTCCGGAATAAAGCCCTTTTCCGGAGGATCTCTTATTCCTACCTTCAAGACGCTTTTTTTCCGGCTTTTCCCCAAGCCGGAAAAAAAGCGGCGGCCATGTTTATTTAAATCTGCGGGGGATATTTAAATCCCCCGCGGATTTCCCTATGCTGACTTACCTGATTTGCATCCCTTTTTCGGAATTTGGGGCCAGTCTAGACGTAGCCATTATGTTTAGCATTTAGCATAATGGAGATAGGGGTCTGCCACAATGTCTTATTGTTGCTCACAATTATTTTTATGAGTGACAAGGCAACTCATGAGGGACTAAAAGGTGATGATAGAGCCACAGAGTCTCTCTCTTCTGTCAACTTTTGTGCTTTAATGTCCAGAACCTGAGCCACTCTGCAGAGCAGTTGTTGGAGGACCTTAACATCCTCAAGTGCTAGGAACACTGTAGTGCCAGCTAGCACCTCATCCAGTGATGATGATGATGTGGGCGCTAAGATCGGAGTACACTCTTCACCATCAAAGTCTAGTCCCTGTTGACGGTCACCAGAGTCTTGAACATTTCCCATAGCTGATGTTGGTGACAGTCCCTGGTTTACCAATAACAAATAACTAAACTATACCAAGAGCAGCCTGAATAAAGAGGACATGCTTGATACTCCATCTCAGGCCAAAAATGGTTGAGAAGGGACTGCAGGTTGTTTGCCCATACAATTCTGCATATACTTAACATGGGGCTTAGGGATGTTCAGGGTATATGAAAAGGTCAAACAGGCACTGCTTTTGAAAATCTCTGATCAAAGGTCATGGAGGCACATGCATACCTGAACTGAAGCATCCATAGGGATACTAGTCAAATAAGAATCCCTTTACATAGTTCTAAAACTCCTATTGCTAGCCCTCCAGAGTTATAAGATACTATAACGTCAAAATACGTTTGCGATATTTTTACACATAGAATTGCTGTTACTGACACAAATCTCTGGAGATGTCCTCACATAACATAATGTGCTGCCCCATTCCACACTACATTCTGTGACATACTCCTCCAACTGAAACTTCACCTCAATGGTGGATTTAGGGACAGCAGATAGTTGGGCACATATATGTAAAAGAAATGTTAGCATAGGAAGGGAGTGCCCTGAAGAACAGTGCAGTCACTTAACCTCTATGTCAATGTCTCTGCTGCTTTGGTAGATCTCAACCTCTGCACATTTGTTAAGAGGATGGAGACAAAAATTCTGTCCTCCCACCCCAAAGGGAGCAATCTAAAAGAATCAACATCGAGTTTCCTGGTCCCTAATATAACCTTTTCTTGTCTGGGGGATGAATTTTTCAATAGCAAAACTACTATATACATAAAATAAAAAGGCTACTATGCTTCAACCAAAAGCTTGTTTACCTATAAACTATATGAGTCATCCTTGATACTATAACAAAAAACATCCTTGATACTATGATATCTTAGTTTTATATGCTACACAAATGAAAGGATAACAATACTAAAAACAATCCTGAAAAGAAAATGCTTGTTTCTTAAACCTGCTTATAACCATATATTTATATAAAATGTGGTTTTCAGTAATAAACTGCAAAATAATTCTCTTTGTGGATTATACAGTTTAGTAACTAATATAGCAGATACAAGCAATGATTTACAAGAAGATGCCATCTGCTGAGCAAAAGTGTAATCAGCAGGCAATTTTTATTACAGCCAAAATCTTTTTCTTCCTTTATTGATTTTTTCCATTGCTTTCCTAAAGCCCCCCAAGCAATCTGTGCCAGTGTAGCAAATGAAGAAAGCATAGGACTTCTCAATGACCCCAATATCAATTCTGCTTCATACTTTACCCTATCTCAAGGCTATGGACCCAATAGGTTAGTTCAAGTAAGAGATAGAAAATAGAATATATAGTATATATACACACATTCAAAGCAACTAAGTAGAAATTACAGGTTAACCTTTGGAATTAAGCCTAATAAATTTGCAGTTTTAAAACAACTTGCAGATATTACACTATTCACCTGTATATCAGTTAATTGATTCTTCATGGTATTCTTTTTGTATTCCAGTTGTTGTTCTGCTTGTTTCTTTTGTTCCTCTAGTTCTTGCAGCCTCAGATTTAGCTTGTAAAGTTTCTGGAAAATATTTGCACAGACAGTTGTTTTAGTATTCAAAAGTGATTGTCCTTTCCTCCCAATTTTTCTATGGGTTTATTCTGACAGATAACAAATAGACATTCTACATCTTTTATTGGACCAATATCTGTTGGTGAGAGACAAGCTTTCGAACTTACCCAGAGCTGAAGGAGTTGGTTCAATAACACATACTACCTGAGGCTACGTCTACACTGCAGGTTTATTGTGGAACAGGAAATGCAAATGGAGCACTCATTTGCATATTTCTTGCTCTCATTTGCATATCTTCTTCCAATCCTTTTTGTGAAAGAGGCTTTTGTGATAAAAAGCTCTGTGTAGACAGGGCAATTTGTCGGAAAAAAAATCCCTTTTGCCAAGATCCTTTATTCCTCAAAAAATGAGGTTTACAGGCTCCTGCGCAAAAGGTTTTTTTCCTGACAAATGGCCCCATCTACACAGGGCTTTTTATCGCAACAACCTCTTCTGCAAAAAGGTTTGGAAGATATGCAAATGAGAGCATGAGATATGCAAATGAGCGTTCCATTTTCATTTCCTCTTCCGCAAAAAACCTGCAGCGTAGACATAACCTCACTCACCTTGTGTCTCTAAAATCCTGGGAGGAACACAGCTACGACATTGTTTTCAAAATGTGTGTTCTGAATGGCCATCATGAAAATAGCAAAAGGAAGGCAAGAAATACTTTGGGTTTAGTGACTGTGAACTAGCAAGGAAAACAGTACTTGGAAGAAAAACTACAAACTGTAAGAAGAGAAAGAATAGCATGTTGAGATTTCTCATTTTTACATCATTCACTAATCCAGTATGTTATTAATTAACATACCCAGAAAAATAGTATTTTAAGTATCCGCTGTACTAAACACATTTACATCATTAATAACTGTCATTTAATAGTTTACACTTATATTAATGTACAAAACGATTACGTAAAATTTATCAATTACTCTGTACTTACACAGTATAGAGTATGTATTGTATAATGATAAAATATATACTGATAAAGTTATTCAAAGTGTTTTCTTTAATAAATTATGAAATTATGTATCATATGTAATTAAGAGCATTCACATTTTGATTCCACTGCAATACTTTCATGTTTTAATCAAAAAGTTTAAGTTATTCCTTGAAATTACCAACACATTTGAATATTACTTAGATACAAACCTGCTTGTGCAAACATTGTTTCCAAGCTTTTAAGATTGAAACAAATATACAGCTAAAGACAAGGATATATCGCTGATACCACACCTCTGCAGGTCTCCAGAAGACTAATGATGTGATCTTTGTCACATTGTTTCTACTAAATTTTACTTAGGGAAGGGCTAACAACATTAGTCACTGCCATTAACATGTTGTTTTGAAAATACTATTAGCTATTAGAATTTTTTTGCAGTTTTATATAACCATTGTGACTTCTTACACCTGAAACACAAAAAATACCTATCCCAATAATTTTATCATACTTTTAAAAAATATCCCATATCTCTGTGACTGTATAGTTAAAATATTGTCAGAAGTGTTACACAGGACCTATACAAAGAAGAGAAAGAAAGACAAGTGGATTTCCTGTGGGGAGTGAAGGCAGAGAAAGAGAAGTTCTAGACTGAGAAGTTAATTACAGGCAGTCCCCGACAACGCGGATCCGTCTTACGTCAGATTCGCAGTTACGAACGGAGCTGCCCCGGAGTACACGGACTGCGGGACCTCGCGGTCCCGCCGCCCGTGTACTCCGGGCGAGAAAAGCTGCTCCGCGTCTCCCTGGTCTGCAGACCAGGAAGACGCAGAGCAAAGCTGCTGCCCGAGGCCCCCCCTCCCCCGGCTTTGCAAAGCCGCGGGGGGGCT